TTCCCGGTCCAGCGGCTGTTCCTGCGGAGCCGGCCGGGGATGGAGCCGCAGCTGTGGGGCAGGGCACAGGTAATGTGGGGCCCGGACCCAGGGCCCCAATGAACATTAATCCAACTCTGGCTCTGGTTTTTCACTACTGGCTCATTTCTAGCATCAGAGAAAATGAAAGAATCAGCCAGATAAATGTCCTTTATAAAGAAGGTCTCCGATCCTTAGTTAAAATGGCTTTCCCTTATGCTAAGTCCATTTGCCTACCAAAAGCATTCACACACAGAAGAAGGGTGAACTAGATTCTTTGACAACTTTCTATAGAGTGTGCATATACAAAAAGGGTGGCTCTTCATAGAGTTTAGGTACTCAATTCATTGATTGAATGTGTATCTCACTTGCACTCAGTACCAGGGCATCACAGCTGGATGCCCATAGCCATGCGTGCTGCCTCAGCATCCACATTTTGCAGATTGATCAGCTGTCCTTGAAACCTTTCCTGCTCACAGCTTAGAGCCCACTTTGTGCTCCATCTTAGTCATGAGAATAGTGCCAACATGGTATTTCTCATGTGTTCATGGACTGCCAGTCAGGCAGATGTTTGGGGAGTCATGGACACACTCACAGAGGCACAAACTTTGCCTCTTCCCTGAACTTATAACTGTCACTGACCTTAAAATATTCTTCAGCTTTTCATTTAATCAGCCACCTTTTTTATGACTTAATTTGGGTTCATGTAGTTAAAGTTTCTTTTCCTCACTATGCTTTTTCACACATTTCTAACTTTCATCCATTCTTTGGGTTCACACTATAGTAATTTCATATTTATTCTTTGTGTTAAAAGGATTCTGCTGCATTTCTCATTTTCCCATTCTCTCTTTCCTCAGTTCCATCCAAAGATTTCTTGGGTGTTTCCACTAATTCCTCACTAATGGCCTCTAGATCCTGCTGCTGAGCCTACAATGATTGCTAAGTTAACAGAGCTAATTATTATTCTCAAGTAGTTAGCCTTAAAAAAAAAAAAAAAAATCAAAAGTGATCCCTCATTCCCATTGGCAAGCAGGTCGAATCAGGAAGAATAAGGGAACCCCACAATCACAGTTTCGCAGGCTGCTCACACACTTGTCCATGTCTGGAAGGCATTGCTTACACAAGAAGCAGCAAATCAAATTGTTAGGAACCAAAGAAACAAAGCACTCAGTGGACTCACCATCTCCAGGAGCAG